TTTTATTGAGATTGACCAGGTCAGTCTATGTTTCCTTCACCAATTCATTGCGATGGCAATACTGAACCTGACTCAGCTGATGAATTGTTTCGTGAAGAACTGATTGAGAGTGAGATCTGGGATGATATTTCAGATAATGAAATTGACGAAGACACTTTTGAGAACACTAAAATTCCATCTGTTAGTGTCAGTATGTCAGTTTCTTTCCAACCGCATGTTTAGTCAATTGTCTAGTTATTTTACTTGCGTTTTTTGGACCTACTTTCCCATACGGGACAACACAATGGAGTTTTTGCTTGTGTCATTAAAACGATTCTTTCAAGCAGCATCTCTTTCCAACAATTGGCTTGCCACACTCTCCTTGGCTTTTCCTGGATCGCTGTACCTTTTTAGAAAAGAAGTAGGCCTGGGAAATAAGAGAACAGGCATCTCTTTTTGAAACAGCAAAATTAAAAAAAATCCCATTTTTAAATATTTTTTTTTGGCAAAATGCTTACAAATGCAAAATGATTTGGTGATTCGGGTAGAGCTCGAAAAGTTAGTTTATAAGTTCAACATTAGTTTTTGCGTTAATCTTTTTGTTTCGGAGACATAAGGGCTCAAACAAGCAAATTTTCAATTGCAATATAGAGATTGTATTGCGAATCGTTCACATGTTGAAAGTTTTCCTTGAAAAATGCCTCAACGGTGTGTAGCCTATGGCTGTTTGAACTCTGCATATAAAAGCAAAGGTATATTTGTATATCAGATACCTTTTTGGAATGACAACTCTTCTGTAGCGGCTAAACGAAGGGCAAAATGGGTGAACTTCGTGTGACGAAGGCGAGACAAATGGACACCAAAAATGTCATCAGTTGTGTGCTCAAAGCACTTTTTCAAAGACAGCTTTGAGTACGGTTCCGCCACCGTGGAAAAGTACAAAACCCCTAGATTGAAAAGGGATGAATATGCAATTTGTGTCTTCGCTATGGTAAACAAAAGTTGGGTTTTGAACAGTGCGGAAAATGAGCTTGCGAATAATTTCAAGCAAAGGGAGGTAAGCTGTTTGGTATACTCAGCGCTATTTTAATGGTATTTATTCAAATGTTACATTTATACTTTGAATAATTTAAGTTTTATGCGCATTAGTTTGCATATATTGACCAGTATGATTCTATGATTGCTTGACTACTCATAAAATAAGAGTTTTATATATACACTATACTGTTTTATGTCTCAGTGAAATCTAACATCCAATACGTTTTTTTGGATGTAATTTGATATAGGTATCGAAAGGGAATGAAGGTCTTGAAGGAATGCCAACAACATCAACCGATGATGCAAGTGCAACTGAGCCAAGTGCAACTGAGCCAAGTGTTCCTGATCCTACCACTATAGACACTACAGCATCAAACAGCACTAGCATGTCCAGCGTATCCATAGGACAAGAAGAAACAATGGTATTAAAGGTTTTACTGTTTTAAAAAATATATCAGCATTATCGCATGCCCATATTTGAAAAGTGTGTAAATAAAAAGATCTTGTTTCACTTATTTATAGTTTTGGAATTCAATTGGCAGGCACCTCAGCAACCAAAGTTTCAACAGTGGGAATGAGTGTTTCAACATATGGGAATGACCTGCATGTCATTGAGAATATTCTTCAATCATCAGCGAGTAAGTTTGGAAATGTTAATATATTTATCTTATTCTGTGGAGGTGGGATTTGTTCTGCCAAATCCCAAAAGATTGTAACTGCCAAGGGGAGTCGATTTTATGATTTTCATAAACACTTTACTGGTAAACAGATCTAGCATGAGCTAGAATTTACCGTTTTCCTGACCCTCTGGCTAAGTCCCTTGCATATTATCCCCGAGCCAGTGCGGAGCACCATGCGAGGGTACTAATTCCGCTCGGAGATTAGGAATTACACTCGTGACCCGGGAGAACATAGCGGAGTCCAAAGTTGCCCAAATGTGATGGTCGTTCAATGGTCATGGTACTTGTGCACATGCGCAAAATGCGAACGAGTGTAGACTGGTAATCAGCAACTTCCTGATTGGCTAAGACGAAACGTTTGTGTTTCAGTGAAAAACATCAGCATTTTAACTGTCATTTTGCAAACTATATTTTAAAAAAATGTTTCGAAAACAAAATATGAAATGTGGAATCAAATAACAGATAAAACACTGGGAAGAGTTTAAAATATTGTCAGAACTGGAGCAATTAGCGGTGAAATGGAACAACTCGATTATAATCCTTGAAATGCTAGGAGTCTATTTTGTTTATTTCAAGGTTTATTTTGTGTTTGCTGTACGAATACATTTTATGACCTTGGTACAGTATGTCATTTTGCTCGGTTTTGCGAAGACGTGACTGACTATTTAAGGCTTTACACCATTGTTTTAACTTCAAAAGAGTCCTTAAAAGTGTAATTCGGAGTTTTAATATAACAAATATCACTTTAAAGGTTTAAATATAGTTGACTGCAATCACTGCATGAATTTAATAATCGAAAAACAACATTCGACGTTCACTGCTTGGTTATCTATATTATTTGGGCTGTTTTGATGTTTTGAAGGTTTAGCTATATAATGAAGTATTAACTCTCACTTAAACTGTGAAAGTCTATAACTTATTGCAACGGAAAGCAGCAGGAAAACGGGTGATTTCACTTCACCTTTACGACTGTGTTTGTTTTCGAAATATTTGAAACATCAGTTATCGGCTTTTACATTTAGGACATTTCATAATATTGAAGGTTAGGTCTGGCTAGCTCAGGAAATATTTTGTTTCGTTTGAAATGGTGAGGGGTTGCTGCATGCATGTATTTCTAGTTTACAATATAGTGTGTACATAGGTGCATGCACAGGAGTACCCTCACTACCCTGTATAAACGAGTGTTATATGTTATGCTATTAATTCTTTTATAGGAAAAGTTATTTCCATCAATGTACATGCACTGGAAGAAGTACCAGTCTGAATTGGTGGACAAGATAAAAAAAACATGGGAAACTTTTTGTTGCTGGGGATGGGCGGCACAACAGTATGGGGCACAGTGCCAAGTACTGTGCATATACTGTATTTTGTTGCACTGTTCCATTCATCATCCATTTTGTCTTAGTGCAGGTATTTTACTAACATTTTTTAGAAGATAGTCTGACATAGATAAGGCTTGATGCTGGTAATTATTGAGTTCTTTATTAGAATAGGTTTTCAGGATAGAATAGGTTAAGAATATTTTAGTTTAAAGAAATGAAGTTGGCAGTCGTGCAGCTATGGATTATGCTGGATTCTGCAGAAGCATGAAGTATCTGCTTGGTTTGACTTTAATTGTGAAAACATTTGTGTCTGACAGGCATGCAACCATAGTGAAACATGAGGGAAAAGTTGTTGAACATCACTCAACTCTTTGACATCTTAAAAAAAGTATGTTGGTTATAAACGTGCAGCAAAAGTAACAGTGTAATTTCCTTGTTTAAAGTAATAATCCCAGACAGAATATTCTAGGTGATCTTTGTTGTATTTTCTACAAGTAAATTGATTTGTCATGTGTCTCTTGTAGAAGTGACAAAAGTGTTGACAAAAATTGCAAACATCAGTGGATGTGAAGCAGTAGCAGAATGGATAAAGCCATGCACAAACCACCTATACTGGAGTGCCAGAACAACCCACAATGGTGATGGTCAAGTTATTTGGGCTAGGTTTCCGTCCTTTTTCAGTCATGTGGTTAAGTGTGAAAATCTGGATAGTCCATTGTTTGATGGAATGCCCCTCCATATTACCAAGCACATGTTGCAAGACAAATCTGGTGAGAGATTGTATCGCTATTTCCCACATGCCTGACTGGAAGTCAAGTCAGCATATGCAGCTAAAATACCCTACAATATTAACTCCAAAAACATTATACTAGGGTATTTTCAGAAATTGATTTCTGAGTTACTACTGTTGGGTATTTTATATGAATAGTTATTCCATTTGGTTCCCAAAATTTATGTTGGAAAATTTGGCTTCAACTTTTTGACTAGAGGTAGCATGCCAGTTTGAAAAAGAATGTGTGCACAGTATATATAACAATGTGCCTTGGAAGCAGTGTGCCTCTATTTTTAGTGAAATATTTGAAAAATATGAAAGTATTTCTTTTAGATATGTACAGTATTATTAATATATCATCACAGTACTTCCAGTTCATCGTCTAGTTAATCATAACCTGTAAATCAGGGCCTTAGCCAGGGTTTGTACTTTACCCGTCCACTGGGGTCCGAATTCATGCTCCCCCGGGAAAGTTTTGAAATCAATTCCCCTGAAATCCCGGAAATGCACTCAATTTTTGGTAGTTGCTGCGAAACAAGCTTAATAACTTTTCGGGAAAACAGACATGAAGAGGAAAATATAGTAAATTTTGGGGCAATTCTTTTCTATTTTGCGAATTACAAGTCTAGTAAGTAGTAACTCGAGTCTTGAAATTGCTGCACGTATCATAACTATAAGTCTTGCCTTGGCATGTTGGATCAGACACTGACTGATTTTTAGTAAGATGAGAAGTTGAAAACGAATAAAATTTACAAATAAAATTGTGAATCACAACATATCTTTACACAAATTATTTCACAGCACTGCAATTTGTTGTCGGTTATATCCGTCTCTTAGCGGATAACATAAAACTACGCAGAGCAGTATCAAAGTCAAAGTCTTCAATGTCCCCGTTTCCCTCCAGTGTTGCTGAGTCGGATGAGTTGATCCAAACGCTCAATCGTAAGACTCATCCTCAGACGAGTTTTGATGCGGTTTTGGATGGAAAAGACTCGTTCAGCTTCTGCCTTGTCCACCATAACACAAATACAAAATGCCATGAGATTATACATAGACCGGAATTGGATCTTGTTATCTTCTCCATAGGGTCCTCCAAATATAATCTTGAATAGTTCAGTTGGCCTGTGGAAATGAAAGCGCTGATTACCATCTTCATCTTCTTTGTTAATCCCTCTATTTCTGTGCAATGTTCGTTTCAAAGTAACAAACTCACAAGAAGCCTCGAAGAATACTCATGCAGTCTTCCACCGAAGATCGCACCGCTGAAAATGTTACGTCCCGATACTGGAATAACTTACTGAGATGATTGGTAGCAGCGAGGATGTCAGCTGAGAGATACAAGAGTGCAACAAATTTATACTTCCGCAGCTGTTGATCTAATCCAATGGCAACAGGGTTACCTGACCCTGCATCCTGACTTAAATGCACTAATAATGCTTTGTAGTTGCGTACTACAGCCGAAACACATTCTCCCATAGACAGCCAGCGAATATTAAATTTCTTCTTAAACTTCAGACTGTCTACCTCCAACAAAGTGGCAATGTCCTCGAACTGTTGCAGACGATTTGTGGAACCTTGGACGTAGTTGTATATTCCACTTAGAATTTCTTGTAGCGTCGCCATATGCTGGTTGTTCTTGCATGCTTGCAAGACTGCCAGGTGCAATCGTTGACAAACACAGTGGACAAAAATGCAAAAGGGATTGTCCTTCCTTAGCAGAGCACTAACTCCCCCCATTTCTCCTGCCATCACGAATGCGCCGTCTGAACCGAAACCAACAATTTTCTGGTCAGGGATATTGTATTGTTCCATCATATCTTTGGTCGCTTTGTGCAGTGCAATGGCTTTGCAGTTGGGTACCTTTACACACTTTAAAAATGTGGTTCTGACCTCAGAACTGGGTGTTATACAGGGTGTATCAAAAAAAATGTCCCAAATGTAAAAATTCCGTTTTTCAGGATATTTTGCAGAATTTGGCAAATTTTTGTGTTCCTAGAGATAGTTAAGACTTATCTGGTATACCTAGGCCAAGTTTGGTTTTTCATTAACAAAATTATGTTACCGGGGGGGGGGGTTCCTTTCCACTGATATTGAGAGGGCTTGCGCGCGAAAATGTGAAGCTGAAATTGAGATATTATTTAGCTGTCTAAAAGTAGGAAAGCTTTTTAATAAACTGTCAAAGTTTCAGGAAAAATAATGCATACTTGGAGCAACGCGCGACCCCTAAATGTGACAAATATTTCATTGCGCGCAGTGGATTAAATGCATGGTTGATTTTAGCGTGACCGATCTCATGTAAGGCTGGGCAAATGAATAAATTAAAGCGAGAAACTGAACACAAAAACAAAGCGATTTATTCGTGATGTTAATCCTCAGCATTTCCACCATTTCATTCTAAGCAAACTGCTGCTTGTCTGAGCATACTAAACACTGAACAGCGAACCATTTGTCTGTCCATTCGCCTAGATTTGCCGGTGGTAGCGTGGGCGATTTGCAAGAAAGAATTTCGAATGAAATGGATAATTTGAGGCAGGACAGACAAATGTGGTTCCGTTCAGTGTTTACCATGCTCAGACGAGCCGCAGTTTGCTTAGAAAGAAATGGTAGAAATGTTGAGGATTAACATCAAGAATAAAAATCTTGTTATTAAATCGCTTCGTCTTCTTGTTCAGTTTCTCGCTTTAATTTATTCATTTGCACATCCTTGCATGAGATTGGTCACGCTAAAATCAACGATGCATTTAATCCACAGCGTGCAATGAAATATTTGTCACCTTTAGGGGTCGCGCGTTGCTCCCAGTTTGCAGTATTTTTCCTGAAACTTTGACAGTTTATTAAAAAGCTTTGCTACTTTTAGACAGCTAAATAATATCTCAATTTCAGCTTCACATTTTCGCGCGCAAGCCCTCTCAATATCAGTGGAAAGGAATCACGCCCCCCGGTAACATAATTTTGTTAATGAAAAACCAAACTTGGCCTAGGTATACCAGATAAGTCTTAACTATCTCTAAGAACACAAAAAATTGCCAAATTCTGCAAAATATCCTGAAAAACGGAAATTTTACATTTGGGACATTTTTTTTGATACACCCTGTATAGCGAATAACAGCCACAAGATGCTTTTCCAAACTTCAGTCAGTTGATTCGTCAATCCCTACACCCACACATGGACTTTTTTTAGCTGAGCAGTTAAGTCACTCTCGATGGTGTTGCTGAGCGCCCTGAGTATTTGGTTGAAAATGTCTAAACTTTGATATTTCACATTGCCCGACTTAAACAAATAGAGTGCTTCAGGAATTTCTAAATGCCTTAGAAACTTGAGGAGAGCTTTGAACTGAGAATTTGGTATCTCTTGGGTTGCCACCCAAAAACAGGCCTTCATTCCAAGTTTCACAGCCTTCATTCTTCTCTCTTCAGCCCTCTTAACTTCTTCGGAAATAGTGGGTTGAGCAGGATTATTAGAAGCTCTAGACAGAGCGTGTTCTTTTGAACCTAAGTGATCACAAACAGCGTTCTTCCTAAAATTGCTAGTTCCTGTCACCATTGTCCTGTTAATCCATGGTCTCTGCAGAGCTTACAGAACATAACGTTTCTGCCTTTATCATATTGCATCCACTTGTACTGATCTAACCAGATAAGGGGGAATTTGCGTGGCCTGACTGGCCTCCCATTTTCCCTTGAAGCTGATGAAATGGTTGGGGTGGAATCATTCCTAAAATGTTGATAATGCATCATTAGTTTTCATTTTTTCTTTCAATGAAAAAGGTGAATATTTACCTGTCTAACCACTCGTCCTCTTGCTCGCTTTCACTGTTGACATTGGATGAGCTAGTTTCTTTGGGGGCATTTTGCATGAATACTGTGTTATTAATTCATTTTAAAATAACTTTCTCGCTTCGCTGAGCTTCACGCTTCGCTGACGCCATTTTGTTTTGAACTCGTGTAAATTTTTTCAGCGGTTGTAGAATGCAATTTTGAGAGTACGTGATGTATTCTTCTTGTAATATGACACTTACTGCAATTGCCGCAATAATCGACATTTTGTCGTTTCGCTCTCGAAGTGTGTGCACCTGTTATTAAATATCTTAGCAAATTTTGAAGTCTGTACGATGTAGCAATGAAATAAAGAGGAAATACTGGAGTTTTGTTTTAAAATATTTTTGCCCGTCCACTTTCAAAAATGCCCGTCCAAAAGATGGGTGGACGGGCCTCTGGCTAAGGCCCTGCTGTAAATGCTTACTGGTCTTTAGGTGTATGGGTTGAACGGATGACATTAGAGAGGTTAAGATACCCTGGTTCCAGTGTACAAGTACGTGTGAATTACACATACCCATTACCGGTAAGACAGGAACGGTTTGCAACTTAAGAATTTTCTTAAATTCCGGGTAAGAGCACCTAGTGAAGGAATGGTAACCACAATTACCAAAACAGCTAAAATGGCGGCTGCTGGAGGCAGGTTAGTAACTTAGTAGCTGTATGTCTTTGTTTTTATGTTATTTAGATGTTGAATACTGCAGTTTTACTGCAGCATTGTTTTCATGTGATTCAAGGACTCGTTCTGTTTACTGTAGAAGGTAAATCGATAATATGTTGCTTTCCCTTGTTGCCGCAGAAGAGGACGCGGAAAATGAGGATGCCAGCGAAGATATAGAGATGTTGATAGCATTCAGTTTATTCAATTAACCATTTGGAGATAAATTTAGGATAGACCTTGAAAAGATTGATCAGAAAATGTGCATCAAATTATTCAGGCATGATCCCTTTAACTATTATTATTAAATTATTTAGTATTAATACTATGATATTGTGATCTATTCATTAAATTGAGAGGAAAAGAATTAAATGTTTAATATTCATCGTCTACTTACCCATCTATTGATTCCTGACACATATAAATGTCCCAATGGGACTGTGGCCAATGGCTTGGAATCATTCCTGTTGCTCCTCAGACGTCTGACTTATCCAAACCGGTTGTCAGATCTTTGCCCTCTGTTTGCAAGACCTGAACCTGAATTAAGTATGATTGTTCATGAGGTAATGTAATCTATCGAGCTTATCCTAATATTGTTATTTAAATGTTTTTGAAACTTTCATGAACAATAAGGGACTGTCAACTGACTTTTAGACTGGAAAAATGAATATTGAATCAAGAATGTTTTGTTAATAAGACAATGATCAACCTTTTTCATTATTATACAACTTTTACTAACCAATAACCATCTATATTGTACATCTGCTTGATACTAGGTTCTCAATGATATATATAATCGCTTCCATCACTTACTTGAGGATCTTAATCAAGACTGGATTGATGCACAGTTATTTGCAGATACCATACATTGCTGGGGTTCCACTTAGAGATTGTTGGGGGTTCATTGATGGAACCATGCTGCCGACTTATTCATAGTCAGAGAAGTTTATTCTCTGGTCACAAGCGAATACATGGCATAAAATTTCAGGTACCATATGTGTTCCTTAGTTGGCCCATAACTATCACAAAACAATAATAAACAGTATAATTTATGCTATATTATTCTTGTTTAGAGTGTTGTTTGTCCCAATGGAATTATTGCAAACCTTTATGGCCCAGTTCCAGGAAAACATCATGATGCTTTCATGCTTTGTGAAAGCAACTTGCTTACAAAGTTACAAGCAAAGTTCAAACCACCGAATGTATATAACCTGTATGGAGATCCTGCTTACCCTCTTTGCCAGCATATGCTTGCAAGAGAGCAGGAATTGTTCAATCGGTGTATGAATAGAGTGTGAGTTTCGGTTGAATGGGCCTTTGGCCAAGTATTGCAGTACTTTGCATTTCTTGATTTCAAGAAGAATTTAAAAATTATTCTTCAGCCAATTGGGAAGTACTATGTTGTGGGTGCTCTCCTAACTAACTGCCATACATGTATGTATGGAAGTGTCACAACAAGTTTTTTTCATCTCTCTCCACCTGATGTTCAGACATATCTAAGTAATTAGACCTCCACATATTCTGAACAAATGTTGTACAAATAACATTGTATTGTAAATTATTGAATTATCTATTAATTTTTATATACTGTATAGAGTATAAATTATACACAATAATGTATTATAAATATTAATTGAATGCATGAATTTATATACGACAACGAAAATCAACTATTGCATCCATTCTTAATTAATCTTGTTTCTTGAAACTGCCCATGAATGCTCTAAGCATATCAAATTGTATTGCAATTTGTTTTTCTTGGAGCTCCAGCTTTTTTTGCTTTAACGCCATTGCATCTTGCTTTAACTTTGATTCAATTTCCAGGGCCTTATTCTTATAATCTAGTTCCTGCTGCTTTAGCATAACATTTGACTCACTTTTCTCTGAGAGATACGTCATAAGATCAGACCTGTTGGTTCGCTTAATTTTCTTTCTACCTGAAAATTTGAAAAAATATCACTTTATGATAATGATATCACTACTTGTATTAATATAATTTATTATTACAATATTTATACATGGTATAATTTAACCCATTAAACAGCATTGCACCCTGATGCACCCTACCTTTGGTATGTACTCTGTCAAACGCCAGACAATTTCACTCGTCATGTGGAAAGTGCTGGCACTTAATGGGTTAATCGGCGTATCTGCCCAAATGTACAGTTAACAACTAAATAGACAAAAACTGTCTTCTATCATTCATTGGGGTAAAAGGTATTAGCAAATATGCAAAGGTATGTTGCCTTTATTATTTTGATCAGCAGTCTGAGTTTCTTCTCCATCTTCATCTGAGTCACTAGTTGTTGTTCTCTCTAAAGAAGGCGTGAAATATTTGCACTAAACATTTTCAATAAGATTTTTAATTCTCATCATCTTTGCCACCAGTGTAAAATATTTACTGATTGATCATCTAACCCCCCCCCCTCTGCACCCTCTGGTATAATGCTCCTTAATTATATCTTAACTTATTGTGATCAACTCACTTTCTTTCATTGAAACCATTGCCGCACCTCTGAACTTTTCAGCCTGTTGTCTACCTTGCTCTAGCTTTAGTTGTTTTCTTGCTTGCACTCTCATGTTTTCTTTTGTCATTCAGGTATGACATCACATCATCCAAAAGTGCTCCCCGTACTAGTGCTCCCTGTACGGGCGCTAACCGTACACCGAGCAGAAACATGTGAATCGAAATAACGAGAAATAATAGGAAATTACACTTATTAGTCAGGCAGATAGACAATAAAAAGTGAGTGAAAACTTACCATATCGAGGGGCAATTTCATTTCATGGTAAAATTGCAGTTCAACGCTTCTTAAAACCGTTTTGATATGTCGGCGAGGTTAAATTTTCTTGTGAGGGCTGGCAGACAGCTTTTACTGACAATGTTCGGATAAAAAGCGCATGGCAAAACCAGTCGTAACGAGTGATGCTGAAAGAGTTTTTCAGGAGTTAACTGCAACCATTGAGGGAAAAGTAATAGCTGGGGTGTGAAGTTTTACGGATGGGAGATTTGGCTAGGCAATATTAAAAAATCGCAGAACGTTTTTTTGGTAATTAATATCAGCTTGGTACGCCAAAAGTGCAAAGGCTCAAAGAAAAGATTCAGAAGTGCTTCGGTTCGAAAGTTGGATTCTGGTGTCCGAAGTACGCCAGCGAGTATCTGTTTAACAACAGCATTGAAAAGGGACAGTTAGTTGAAGTGGCAGTAAAGACAAAGCAAGTTAATTGTGCAAGTTAATTGTAGATGGGAGGAGAAAACCCTAGAGGAGAAAACAATGGAAGCTGCACAGGAAATACATAAAGAATTGTTGGAAACTCCCAATACTTTCAGTAGTTGGCCACCACCGGAACACGAGCTTCTCTCTAAAGAAACTGAGGTTCCAAACTTAACAACACGTTTATTAGAAGGAATCCTCGCAAAGAAACCAACAAAATCTCTGAAGGTTTCGCGTTTAGTATCATCAATTGGTCAAGATCTCATCTATCATGTCAACAATGGTCGGAAGAAAATGTCAAAACATGCGACCTTCTTGTTTTCCATCAAAAGAAAGACTGGTTCCAAGATTGTGATCAATTGGGCAAACAAGTTTGGCCACGGAGTCTCTTATGATGATGTCCTTATTCTTGAAACGTATTTGGCGATGGAACATTCTAAGGACCAAGTCCACAGATCGTTCTCTCCAGCCATCATCCAACCATCTCGATTTGTCACTTTCGTTTAGGATAACAACGATATAAATCCTGAAAGCCTTAGAGGGCTTAGTTTGCATTGCACTAACGGTATTGTTATCCAGTCATCAAGGCTGTGTTGCATCTACCCGAGCCTACTTCCACCAACAATTCAGTGCTTTTACAATCGCGTGCAAAACAAAGAGTTAAAAAGCTCCAACCTTTATCACAGATGCCTTCGTACGTACAGGTGAAACGAAAGAACACGGAAGACCCTACTAACATTGAGCTTAGAATGCACCAAGACGAAATTCAATGCTTGCGCATTGTTGATACACTATGGATCATCGCCAGAAGTCTAGAAAATAAAGTGAGTCTTGAACAGCAAATACCAAGTTGGACAGGCTTTAATTATTTTATGTGCGACAACGACAGCGACAACTATCATAAAATTGGATACCTGTCATCGATCAACAAATCTCCAACGTCCTTTGATACTGTTCTGGAACTCCTTTGTCAGTCGAAGATAAAGGCAGAGAAACTTGATCTAGTCGAGACTGATGTTGTGCTTGATATGGCAATCTACGCTAAAGTTCTTGAAGTTATCATGAATCTAAGGTACGTTGATCTTGAGCAGTTCATCGTCTTGTGACTTGGTGGGTCCCACACAATGTGTATAATCATTGCTGTGATTGGAAAGAAGTTTGCTGATGCTGGTCTTTGTGACATCGTAATTGAGACAAATCTCCTTGGTGAGTCTTCAGTTGACCAAATGTTTAAAGGAAAACACTATAACAACGCGATGCGAATCCTAAAATACCTGTATGAAACTGTCAAGAGAGATATGATAGAGAGTTTTGAACAATGGAGAAAGGACCAACCAGACCAGATAGACGAGTGTTATGAAGCATTAGTCGACTCTCCAGAGCTAAAGAGTTTCCTTTTCTCTCCTTCGAAGCAACATTTGGAAACCCTTAGCCAAGATCAAGCCAAACTGCTCGATGAGATACATATCTATGAAGGTTCTCTCTTGAATGGTTCTCTTGGTCCAACAGCATCTTTTTGGTTGTCATTTTCACAGATGGTACAGATATTACTCGATTTTTCCCGATCTATCAAGCTTGGAGACTGGAAATTGCATCTACAATCGACAGAGAATATGCTTCCTTGGATGTTTGGCTACGATCGTCCAAACTACGCATGCTTCCTGACATACTACCTGGTAACTATGAAGAAACTTCCGGAAACCCATCCTGCAATACATCAGGAATTCGAAGCTGGTTATTTTTCTCTAAGAAGACAACGTGGAAGATTTAACAAGATACCTTCAGATCAAGCTATAGAACAGACAATCAACAGGGGGCAGAAATGTTCTGGCGGATTGTTGGCTATAGTACATCGGAGGGGACGGTACAAAGATGGGTACTAACAAGTCATATTGCTGCGAAGTGTCAGTCAAAGATGGAGAAGTTCCTTGGAATGTCTGAGGCTAAATCTGTCACAAAAGATCTTGGAGAAAACGTTTACTACACGACGAAGAGTGCGTTGTTCGTAGTTATGATCTTATTAAAGAGTGGGGGACACCCTTTAAAGAAAATTCCTGCCTCGTACATTTAAGCTCTGGTTTACAATGCAGCCCCGACATTCAAGATGACCTAATGAATGCTGAAAAACAAAGGAAAAAAAGCACTGTGCCACTTCTTAGACGTTCGCGGCGATGAAAGTTAAGAAATCTTGAACCATTAAAGATAGAAGAAAGTTTAACGTTGATGTGGCAAGTGCGATGTGCAATATATTTATATATTTATATATTTATATACATATATATTTATATACATATATATATATATATATTTTGGAGCAAATCATGTTCAACAATATATATATATATATATATATATATATATATATATATATATATATATATATATATATATATATATATATATATATATATGCTAGGTAAATTGATTGCCTTTATTCTAAATAGGCAGCAGAGTCATCAAGTCTCACCATTTGCCAGTCTTCCTGTGTGAGACCTCTGGGCCATGTTGTTGTCTTCCACTGGTAAAAGGACTCCAGAAGTCTTTCAGGTTCCTTGCTCTCTCTACAGTGACCTCTCTGATGTATTTGCACTTCAGAAAATAGAAAGAGATAGTGACCTATCATATCCAGCAAACATCTTCAAATATCTTTTTGTAGAAACATATTAAATTTATATACTATATGATGGGAATAACTATATACAGTATATAATTGCATGGCTAAAATATACCAAGAAAAAGCTGATCATTCACAAAGTTATTGTAGAGTATGAATAAGTTCTTTAATAACTTGTAGTTAACCATGCAGGATATTCTATAGTTGTGCCTAATGATGTAACATACCGTGATGGTTATTTCATTTTGGAATTGGGCTTTCTGTGACCATTTGCATGCTTCTGCCCAATCAATTGTACAACCTTGTCAGTTACGGCATCTGTTGGAGCAGTTAACAATGGTTGATAACCAGCTATTCCAAGCAGCCATATTTAACAGAATAACAATATTGTTAACAATTAGCATACAGTAATAATCACAGTCCTGATATTCAGTTAATTAGTGAAAAAGAGTTTACTAAGATATTAGACCTTCCCTCGTTTATCTTTCAAGCATGCAATGAGTGATGGTAATTGATTATCAAACAACTTTGAGTTGTGATATTGCTCTGCTTAGAAGCGATTTTGTTTCTAAGAAAACCTTGCTGATTCTTTTTGCTTTTCTGAACATGGTGAAATCACAACTTAAATTGACCTCGACAATTACCGTCAAACTATTTTTAATGATTTGCATTTAAGCTATTAATGTATGTGCATGGCAACGAATAACTAAATTGTTCATGAATTGTGCTTACCCGCCTTCTTTCCTCACTTCTCCAATAAGAGAGTTTGGCCTTCTCAAACTTCTGGAACCTCAACAATAGTTCCTGACAACTTAGGCCTGTTGGAGAGTTGGAGAACTCCAACTTCAATGATCTCTACAAGTCAAAAGCATCACATAGACAACAAGACGCCTGCTCAAGGCGTTACTCCGCCTGCAGGTGAGGAAACACTACAGGTGACAAAAGGTCACAAAATGAGGTGCTTTGCCTGTCAAACTGTTGTCTGTCATACTTTTGGGATTTTTTGTTATACATTTTGTATTCATTAATATGAAATTATTCATTAATGCATCTTTATTCATTGATGTAACTTTATTTAATGATGTAACTTCATTCAGTTGCTTAACTTTGTTTACTAATGTAACTTCATTAATGAATATAACTTTATTCATTGTAACTTCATTGTTGGCATTCAAAGGTAAGTTGGCATTTAAAGTTAAGTTGGCATTTAAGTTGACTTGGTATTCAAATGTGACTTTGTATTCTAATGTGCATTCATGGAATTCACACTCAGGGACATTAATTTTTTTTGCAACTTCCTGCAAATGAGCACCAAAACCTGTAAATTAGAACAAAAATAAAGTTTTATAAGTTTGGCAAATCAATCCTGTAATAGGAACAGTTTTAATACCCCCTTTTAACCCTGTTATCGCTCGCTACTCTGGTTTATATAAATGATCACAAAGCCTGGTCAAATTTTAATCAGGACCTAACGTTTCGACAGTCCATTCTACTGTCTTCATCAGGGGTGATCTAAAGCTGGAATCAAAGCTTCTTAGATACCCAAGGGTTGATGTCACCTGCCCAAGACTGGTTGTCAAAATGTTGGGTCCTGATTACAATTCGACCAGGCTTTGTAATCATTTATACATTTAAAATAGACTCTAGTAAATAGAAATATTGAATTCTTAAGCATGCAGGGTCGCTAAACTTGTAGTATGTATAATTTCTGAGAGCAAACAGTACTTTGTGTATACCTAGTTTGTATTTTAAACACTACGTCAACGGGAATCAGTAAATCAACTATAAAACAGAAAATCTTGGGGATACTAATATGTGATTACCGCCACAGCATATGAATACAATCTAAATCTTAACAACTTACCTTTGTAGTTGTTGAACATGGTTCTGAAAGCTCTTTCAATTCGACATTCATATTTTTCACAAGGGAAGAACGTCGATTCTAACCAGTGAACTCTAATGACTGATTCTAACATGAGGAACACGAGCCACAAGGACACGAAAAAAAATAAACAATGCACAAAATCACCCCCAAACCTCCTTAAATGCCAACTGATGTACATAATTCATCCGTGTAACCCAGGGCTTCTCGGTCAAAATGTTTTGGGTTACCTGTAGAAATGCCAACTTCTGTCGCCCAAAACTACGACGACGAAAAGGAAAAAGACCATGGCATTTTAAGACTCCGCTGCGCATACGCAGGCGGAGTAATTATAACAAATGAAAACAAATAGTGTTGGCAACCAAATTGAATGGTTCAAAAAAGAGAAAAAAAACAAAATAGCAGCTAGGTTAAACAAATTCAATTTACTGTACCTCTTTCTCAGGGGACTGCAAAGAAAATCTCCCCTTGCACATATAGTATTTCCCAAGAAGTCGGATGATGTTGTCCTACCAAATGTTTGAAAACGTTTTGAATTAATATATAATAAATTATATTGTTTTTAAAACACATTTATGCACATTGTAAAAACTTACAGTATGGCTACAATTTGCCAGATTAAAATTTTTGGTTTCAGCCGAGCGCCTGATTCGTTTTACATTGTCCAAAATCTCCTGCTGGGTTTCGGACAATGCCAGAACAGACCTTTTCAGGGACGCCACATCACTTTGAATCTTTATCAAAAGATCGTGGTCCTGGTGGTTAGGTGTTTGAACAGCCGGGCGGTAGACATTTTCTAAAAAAAAACAACAAAAACAAGATTAATACAACCAACATTTCATTAAACAAATTGTATAAAAACAATATCAGGCAAAACAGTTTTAAAAGAATGCGATTTCCATCTGTATTGAGAAGGATCCATAAAGTAAACGGTGAACGTTACGGCGAACATAACACCAGCCATGGCACGGTCACCAACAACGTAAATAAAATCTAATCAATTCTTGCAACGATTTGCAAGAAGCCATTTTAATATGTTTTTGACAGGGGGACTTCTTATCGTTTCAAAAGGGGGTGGAGCAGAAAAGACTAATTAATTAGGCCGGAATTAATTCAAAATTATTGGATCAACATGAAACAAAAGAATTACAAATACAATACAAAAATAGATACCTGTCAAACAATTCGGATTTTGCTGCCGTGTAAAAAGTTCGCGCCTGCTGTTTAAGGACGGACCTACATAAATAAAAGGACAAATTACTCTTTTGAAGAAGGGCGATATCGTAGCCATTTTTAAATTAAAATTTAAGACATACCAGACGCGGTTGCAATTGCCTGCTGGATGTTTCTTGTCTTGATGACGTCTCAAGCTCCATTGAAACAGCTTGATGAGAATCGCTACAAAAAGTGTAAACATATAAAACAGGACAGCACGCATGAAGGTAAAACAAAAGTAACTGAGAGACAGTCCTCACTTGCTGATGTCCTGTGTCTCCGCATCTTCGTCCACATGCTGATGAAATTGGGCACGAAACATTTTGAGGCAAACAAAAAAGCTGAAAGAAGCAACCGCTTCTCGCAAAGGCTTTAAGCGGGAAGAAATAAAACAATGGCAATTCCCATTCAACCAATCATGGCATGCATTTTCCTTTTGTTCACCCAATAAGGTTCAGATTGGCTCAGAGCAACCAGTCAGCCACCAATAGCAAATATTTTGGTCATTCAAATTTCCTAAGAAAGATTAACAGTCAATGTGATAAATCAAATGATTTGTTGTCAGCTCCGTTTAAACGATCACTTTCGGATAAAAAATCATAGTTTCTGGCTAACAAATGTAAATATATGGAACTATGAAAAGAAGAAGACAGGCAGTATCAACATGTGTGGACTGCGAAAAAAACTTTGAATCATTTGAAACTTCTGAAAGGCATTTTTCTTCTCGTAGTCACTTGCAGAGGTTGTTGGCTTTAAATAATGCACTTTTGCTGAACACACTCGCTTTTGCGGAAGAAGCGCACAATATTTTACCGGTTAATGACGACCGCTTGATTGGGCAGAACGATGAAATTAGCGTCCACCCTGACGATGATATTTCAGATAATGATGGGTTTGATAGCGACGACGGATCGGGTTTGGAGTTTGAAGATAGTGAAATTGATGATGATGGCGGAATTTTCAGGCACAATGACCTGAGGGACCTTTTGGATGAGAATGAAGACTCCCTTGTCATCGAATCAGATGAGAATGATGTGGACGATTTCTATCCCTTTCCAAGCGAGAAATTCTTTCTTTTGTACTGTTATGCTCACAGTATTATGAGGCCAAAGGTAAGTAATTTTATAACGAGTCATCAAATGTAATGACCCCATTACATGTTTGACACACGAAATCCTTTAAAAGGATTGCAACAATGTGAGAAGAATGTGCGTTTACAGAAGCATTTATTATTATTTTTTTACCAGTCAAGATCAGATTTGGAGTTTCTTTGGATGATGTTAAAACGTTTTGGAGTAAAACTACCATCATTATCGTCTGTTTTATCCTTCAAAATGAAGGGTTTAGAAGATAGTGTGCCATTAAAAAAGGTATGGTTGTAAAGTCGTCACGTCTTGAAAACGAGGTTCATTTTTTAAAATTGATGGCTTTCCGGCATATTAAACAAATTTGCAGTGAATAAACTCAGTGAATAAACTCGTACGCAGTAATTCAAGCTATATTTGATCTTATATAAAGCAAATTGAATAGACAAGCTGTACATTTATTTTACATTCAAAGAGTTATGGAAACGGACATCCTTTCTATTGGATCGCTCCTTCGGATATTATCAAATTGCAGATGTCAACACCATCAATTGCAACTCAATTGGCCAGATATCCAGAGAAAACCGACAGGTTGATTAAACAACTTTATCAAGTAAGTAACTAAATGTTACGAAATTACGAGCGAGTCGTATAAATGGCTTTGGATCCCTGCCCGTGGTCCTGTATTTCAAGTATGCAGTTGCGACGTTCTTAGTCTTCTGAATTATTAAGATAATGAGTCTATACAGAGCACATAACTTTTATCAAATAACTCTCATTATTTTTTTTAATTTAAGGCGAAAATGGCATATTGCAGGTCAGCTCCAAACATCCTCGGCTACAATCAATGGAAGAACATATTATGTGAAGGATTTAGTCATTTACAAGAATGGTGATGTATGTCATGGAAAGATCAACAGGTTCTTTATGAAGGTTAAATTATAGCTTTAATCACATAAACAAATATATATAATCGTATTTATTTATTTTTCGTAAACCTAAAGATAGATCGACTTAAAGATGTTATCATTTACGCTATATCTAATATAGAATGTCCATGGTTCCTTGCGATATTTCGTTAAAGTTACCAAAACGATAGTTCTGGAACCTTTCTCGCTGGCCATCACACGGGACCACGAAGAGGTTCCCATAGAAAGTATTGCAATGTTGTCTGCCTACAACATCCGTTTCCAGGAAGTTAATGATGAAATTGCCCCACCCTCTGATGCGGTAATTACTTTCAACACGTAAATAATTAATATTATTACACGTAAATAATTAATATATATCCGCACGTGCTTGTTATGTACAGACGTGCCTCCATGAGCTCCTGAATTGTTATCAAAACTGTCGAAATAAAACATGTCAAAGAACACTGTTAAGTCACTAAAGAAACAAAATGATGATCTAAAGGCGCAAATTGAGATTCTGATGAAAGATTTTAGAAAACTAGAAGAAAATGTAAAACAAAATGAAGCACGTAACGCCGACCAGATGAATTCTCCATCGACTGTGAACAAAGAGACCATCAAGTCCTTGGAGTATTTGGAAAGCAAGTACGACGACCTACAAAGCTTCCGAACATCGGCAAGAAGACAACTTTCGCATCTAGAAGCCCATATAACAGAAATTGCTGAAAATGTAGAAAACCTCTCAAAGTCAATTGACAATGCTCAGCAATACAGCTACTCCTTCAATGTCAAACTGTTGGGAATACCCGAGCTTAAAGCCAAAGAATCTGCTATCCAGACAAGTACACTATGTGTACAAATCTTCAACGCCATGGGCGTTCAAGTGACACTACAAGACGTAGACATTGCTCATCGTGTACCCACAAGAAGGAATAATGATGGACGACCCAAACCAATAGTCTGCAAATTCATACGACGCCTTGCCCGTGAGCAAGTAATGGCAGTAAGAAGGGACATTAAGAAAATCGATCCAAGACTTGTTGGCTTACCCGAGGAATCTTTAGCGAACGCTGCTGTATACGACCACCTAACGCCGAAGACCCAACAACTTCTAGCAGATGCTAAAAGATTCAAAGACGAAAATGATTTCAGATTCTTTTGGACGAAAAACTCTATGGTATATCTTCGAAAACATGAAGATTCCCGAGCGATCAAGATCAAAGACCAACGTGATCTGGCGAACTTGCAAACAACCCAAAGTTAAATCCAAAATAAGCAACAGCTAAGTAGAATTGAACTTTTTTTTATATGTCTAACTATACTCTAGTATTTAGATAAACATGGCGAACTCAATGACAGCAAAAGATATTGCTTTGAATAAAGCACTCCTTAGGGAGTTGCCATACTATGGTTTAAATTTTACTCAATTCCATGGGCAATTTAATAATAGCTTAAAAAGTTCCTTGCCAACAAAGAGATACCTTGAGCGCTTAACTAGCATCCATGATCTAGATCTTTTCAACCTAAACATTTCCGATGAAAATTCTGAGTCAGTAACTCGTTTACCAACGGTTCGTTGTAAATATTATTCACCAAATAGCTTTAGTCAGCTAAAAAATAAGTCTAGTACATCTGCAACCAGGAACAGTTTTTCCTTACTTCATAATAATATTAGAAGCCTCAAACGCAATTTAGAAAACTTTCAATCACATTTACTAGAAGAACTTAATTATCAGTTTAGTGTAATAGGAATCACTGAAACTAGAATCAATCAAGACACTATTTATGATTTTAATCCATCAATACCAAATTATAGATTCGAATTTGTCCCAACACCTCATGCCGCCGGCGGTGTTGGTATGTATATTCACAATACCCTAAAATATAGAACAATAGAAAAATGCTCTGATGAGGCATTCCAAGCCCTTTGGATTGAAATTCAGTTACCAAGGAGTGCAAACATAATATGCTGAGTAATCTATAGACAGCATAATTCACCTGAGCGTTTTCAAGCCTACTTTGAGGAGACAATTGAGAAACTGACTGGGTTTGGTAAACCTATTTATTTAATGGGTGATACGAACATAAATCTTCTTCGCTCAGAAACCTGTAATTTTGCCCAAAACTTTCTTCTCTCTTTACAAAGTTTTAGTTTAATTCCTACTATTGACAAACCAACTCGCGTGTACAATAATTCTGCCACACTCATAGATAATATTTTTATTAATAAGATTGAAGACTGCATTATTAGCCGTAATATTGTCTCAGATATTAGTGATCACTATTCACAATTTTGTATCACTTGATCTAGTATTATGACCAAAATTTCAAACTTACACAATACTTTTCATCGTGATTATTCAAAGTTTTCTGATGCAAATTTTGTTAATGACCTTACACAACTTGACTTAAGTCGTATTGTTTCTTGTACAATTGATACAAGTAAAGCATTTTCTACCTTTTATAATAAGCTTAACAAGTTAATTGACAAGCATACCCCTTTAAAGCCAGTTTCAAATCGTAAAGCTAAACAATTATCAAAACCATGGATAACAAAAGGCATCAGACAATCTATTAAAATTAAAAATTCATTTTATTTTTCGGGTGATATAGACAAATATAAGCTGTATAGAAATAAGGTATTGATGCTTACTCGCTTGAGTAAGAAAGCTTATTATCATAAATACTTTGAAATTAATTTAAAAAACACCAAGAAGACTTGGATAGGTATAAACAATTTAATCAACCGTAAAAAGAGGAATAGTAAACCAATTACCGTTCTTAAATGTCCTCTCAGTCAAAGATTGTCACACAATACTTTTGAGCACCCTAATATTCTTAACAAATTTTTCTCGTCTGTTGGCCATTCTCTTGCCTCAGAAATACCAAATCCGTCTGTCGAGTTTACAGATTATTTGCCTAGTTTGAACAATTCAAACTCTTTCGCTTTTAGTCTCGTTACTCCAAAAGAAATCGAACTGGAGTTATTGTCAATACCAGCAAACAAAGCGTATGGTCTATATTCCTGCCCTGTTCGTATTCTAAAATGTGCAAGAAATATATTATGCCATCCTCTATCTTACCTGATTAATAAGTCAGTTGAAAATGGCTCTTTTCCTGCTAAATTAAAGCATGCTAAAGTTATCCCTATATACAAAGATGATGATGAATCTGACCCCTCAAACTATAGACCAATATCTCTCCTCTCCGTATTTAACAGAATCTTTGAAAAAACAATGTACAATCGTCTTAAAGCATACCTTGAGAAATACCAGATGCTGTTTGAATCTCAGTATGGTTTTCGTGAGAAACATTCTACTCAACACGCTCTTCTCGATATAGTGAACCAAATACAAACTAATATGGACCAGAAAATGTATTCATGCGGTATCTTCATTGATTTAAAAAAAGCATTTGATACGGTAAATCACATGATACTACTAAAAAAATTAGAGCACTATGGAATATGTGGTGTCGTAAACGATTGGTTCTCGTCATATTTAATTGGACGTATTCAGACAACGCAAATGGGCCCAAATATTTCAGACAAAGAGGAAACGCTATCTGGTGTTCCTGAAGGTTCAGTTTTGGGACCTCTGCTATTTCTTATCTATACTTCCTACAAATTCATGGCACTGCTATGGGATCACCAATGGCACCTACCTATGCAAACATATTCATGGCAGCACTTGAACAGGAGCTCCTCCAACAAGCTCCTGAAAATCTTATACCTATTGAATGGATAAGATTTATAGATGACATATTTGCAATTTGGACACATGGCACTGACAAACTGGAAAAATTCCTTAAATACATAAACAATTTTCATCCTACCATCAAATTTGACTTTTCCTTCTCTGAGAAATCTGTCAACTTCCTTGACACAACTATCTACAAAAACAAAAACAACAAACTGGAATCAGACCTGTACATTAAACCAACTGACAAAACCCTTCTACTACACAAAAGCTCATTCCACCCCACCACATGCAAGAACGCAGTCATCTACAGTCAGGCTCTACGATACAGACGCATAATTACAGACAACAACAAATTACAACAACGACTAAACCACCTCCTGATTGCACTGATCCATCGCGGATATGACCACGACACCATCACCACCAACTTCAACAAAGCCCTACAATACACCCAAACAGACCTACTCAATAGGAAACAAAGCCAAAAAAACACAAGCCGCCCAATTTTCTCCATTCCATACAACACAAACACAAAATATATTGCAAACATCCTACGTAAACACTGGAACATATTGGAGAATGACCCCACACTGAGGAGTCTATGGCAAGAACCTCCAATTGTAGCCTACCAACGTAATACTAACCTGAGAGACACACTTATCACAGCAAAACTTAATACCAGACACAACGCTAAAAACATAATAACATCCCATAACCCAAATCCCCCAGGCCTTCCATCAACCCCAAACCTAACCAAAACCAGCCAAAAACCTCCACACCATCCTAAACACAGATACAAAAAAATTTTGACCACTCCCAATTGACATTGAGTCTGAATACCACCTTGAAAACACCAGAGTGGATATAACAAACCAAAGAACTTCCTGGGACACACTGGGTTACAAGTGAGAACATGCAAGAACCAATTAACACATGACAAGCAAACCCTGTGGCACTCTCCTGTGAAAACAACAAAACTACATGACTTAACCAGTCACATCAAATCTGGCATCCTGGGCATCCTGCGGACATAAGTATAGAATTATTTTTTTAAAAAAATACTTGTCCTTATAGCAGAATTAAGCCATAAATATGACCAGATGCCCGAACAAAACCTAAATGTTCAACCACACGGATTAAATACACTTCAAATCAAACCACATGAACATGGTCATGGATAATGTAGTCACGTTGAACAATCCTTATGTAATATAATGTACAATCCGCTATCCATATGCTGTATATATATATATAGTTATAGTAATTCAAACGCATGACAACGTCCACGTTGACTTCTAATTACCGATGACAATTTAAACACCTACTAAATAATGATACCTATATACCTACAACCTTACACTCACAATTATATGCACGTTTTACAAGCTTATCATAAAACTTCAAAATACAAACCTTAAAAACCTTGACTACCTCAAATTGATAACCCTATTATATTCACGATTGAAACCCTCACGGTTGATGCATCGCCGAACATCGACCCACGGAAGTTTTTAGAACCCGGGGTAGTTTACTACCCACAGATGACGATATTGCACTGTAATTCTGTAATTCCTCGCCAAAAATCCAAAACATTTCAACCCAATTTTTTATTTCATGACTACGGTGATAAAACGGAACTTCAACAATTATAACCAACCATACTACATGAAGTACAACTTACAACCAAAACACATTTAAACCTCGGATGTCCACACACAACCATAATTGACACGTAAACCCCCACTATCCCCAACACAGACTTTGACACCTGACCTCAGTGACGTAACATATTAACGCATTTTATGCACACACGTGCAATCCTTGACCCCTTTTCGATCAAGTCTCTTGAACGGATACAAGCTCGAACACTAGCTCTGCTGTCAAGCAATTCAAAACAATTTTTAAGTAAAATTACACTCGACTTCACATCAACCCTGAGATGGCTCACCGCGTTGGTTTATCTAAAGTCAACAACAACTTTGGTAAGACACACAGTTTAATTTTACCATTTTGCCTTTTACGAATACACTCTCACGCAGGTTTGATAACTTTAACCTTGATTCTTTATGATTCTCCTACAAACACACACCACTTTTACTCACTTCTTATCTTCATTGTTCCTTCACACAAAGCCAACCCTGCTCCCCGCTGACGAGTCCGCAAAAGGATGAAACGCCGCGTGGGGATACTGATTCGCACGCTTGCCTTCTTGTCTTCTGTTTTACTACCTACCTCCTTACATAACCTTGACTTAAACACCACCAATAACGCTACACAACCTATTACTACAAACGCAACTACATAGTTTCTTGAAGAACTCCATCATAAACAAACAAAACCCCTTTTTAAAAAAATTTTATTTCAAACACACCACATGGTTGGCGGTTGTCCAACAAATTCCAAACTACCCCATCTGGTTATTTTTATTTCTATTTCTACGCCCCTCAATTCGCAATTAACCATTCAACAAATTACTCATTATGTTCCCCTTTAGCCCACATACACATAACGTCCTTTTTTTCTCTAGTTTGTCTAATTCAGACAATTGTTACAAATTAACTTATAACTATATAAGAACTACAATATGGTTCCAATTACCTATGTCAAAATATAAAATAAACATTGTGATACCCCTATAGGGAACGGAGAGAGCGCCACCAAGCTCGCCATATTGTTTAGTTCTAGTTGTAACAATTGAATCAATCTCATACAGTTAACCAGAAAACAGTCCCCATTGTTTATTCACACACCCTTAACACACTTACTTACAAACACAACGATCACTACTCAATGGAACTATTACTCACAAAGGATAACCTTAATTTTTAAGAAGTCCCATTCAACTTTGACACTTTGACACCTGACCTCAGTGACGTAACATATTAACGCATTTTATGCACACACGTGCAATCCTTGACCCCTTTTCGATCAAGTCTCTTGAACGGATACAAGCTCGAACACAAGCTCTGCTGTCAAGCAATTCAAAACAATTTTTAAGTAAAATTACACTCGATTTCACATCAACCCTGAGATGGCTCACCGCGTTGGTTTATCTAAAGTCAACAACAACTTTGGTAAGACACACAGTTTAATTTTACCATTTTGCCTTTTACGAGTACACTCTCACGCAGGTTTGATAACTTTAACCTTGATTCTTTATGATTCTCCTACAAACACACACCACTTTTACTCACTTCTTATCTTCATTGTTCCTTCACACAAAGCCAACCCTGCTCCCCGCTGACGAGTCCGCAAAAGGATGAAACGCCGCGTACGGGGATACTGATTCACACGCTTGCCTTCTTGTCTTCTGTTTTACTTTTCTACCTACCTCCTTACATAACCTTGACTTAAACACCACCAATAACGCTACACAACCTATTACTACAAACGCAACTACATAGTTTCTTGAAGAACTCCATCATAAACAAACAAAACCCCCTCCTTAAAAAAATTTTATTTCAAACACACCACATGGTTGGCGGTTGTCCAACAAATTCCAAACTACCCCATCTGGTTATTTTTATATCTATTTCTACGCCCCTCAATTCGCAATTAACCATTCAACAAATTACTCATTATGTTCCCCTTTAGCCCACATACACATAACGTCCTTTTTTTTCTCTAGTTTGTCTAATTCAGACAATTGTTACAAATTAACTTATAACTATATAAGAACTACAATATGGTTCCAATTACCTATGTCAAAATATAAAATAAACAAAGGATAACCTTAATTTTTAAGAAGTCCCATTCAACTTTGACACTTTGACACCTGACCTCAGTGACGTAACATATTAACGCATTTTATGCACACACGTGCAATCCTTGACCCCTTTTCGATCAAGTCTCTTGAACGGATACAAGCTCGAACACAAGCTCTGCTGTCAAGCAATTCAAAACAATTTTTAAGTAAAATTACACTCGATTTCACATCAACCCTGAGATGGCTCACCGCGTTGGTTTATCTAAAGTCAACAACAACTTTGGTAAGACACACAGTTTAATTTTACCATTTTGCCTTTTACGAGTACACTCTCACGCAGGTTTGATAACTTTAACCTTGATTCTTTATGATTCTCCTACAAACACACACCACTTTTACTCACTTCTTATCTTCATTGTTCCTTCACACAAAGCCAACCCTGCTCCCCGCTGACAAGTCCGCAAAAGGATGAAACGCCGCGTACGGGGATACTGATTCACACGCTTGCCTTCTTGTCTTCTGTTTTACTTTTCTACCTACCTCCTTACATAACCTTGACTTAAACACCACCAATAACGCTACACAACCTATTACTACAAACGCAACTACATAGTTTCTTGAAGAACTCCATCATAAACAAACAAAACCCCCTCCTTAAAAAAATTTTATTTCAAACACACCACATGGTTGGCGGTTGTCCAACAAATTCCAAACTACCCCATCTGGTTATTTTTATATCTATTTCTACGCCCCTCAATTCGCAATTAACCATTCAACAAATTACTCATTATGTTCCCCTTTAGCCCACATACACATAACGTCCTTTTTTTTCTCTAGTTTGTCTAATTCAGACAATTGTTACAAATTAACTTATAACTATATAAGAACTACAATATGGTTCCAATTACCTATGTCAAAATATAAAAAATATTGTCAACCTTGAACTCTCTAATTTGTGCACGTGGCTAAATGCAAACAAATTATCATTGAATATTAAGAAATCTCACTTTGTTATCTTTCACTCATACCAAAAATGGCTTGAATATGAAGTACATTTGAAAATATTTGATGTTCAATCTAATACCTATATCCCTTTAGAACGCAAAAGTTATGTCAAATATCTAGGCGTACTCATTGATAGCAACCTCTCATGGAAATATCACATTAGCCACATTGCTTCAAAAATAAGTAAAATGATTGGTATTATCGCTAAATTGAGACATTTTGTACCTACAAGTACTTTACATAACATTTACAGATCCCTTATCTTACCGCATATATCATATGGCATTGTGGTATGGGGTCAAGCCGCAAAAACTCATCTTAACAAAATTCTTAAACTTCAAAAACGTGCTCTCCGGTTAATACATTTTGAGCAGTATGCATCTCATGCAATTCCATTATTTGTCTCTGCTAATGCACTGCCCGTTAATATGCTGTACTTCATGTCTGTGTCTACTTTGATGTTTGACGTGGCAAATAACTTTACACCATCTAACATTTCCAATTTGTTTGTTTCTTCTAACCAAGTGCACAAGTATAGTACTAGGTTTTCTTTAAGAGGCAATTATTATGTCGAATATTCAAATTCTGCCCAACAAATTAAGTCATTTTCAAGAGCTGGAGTTAGGATATGGAATAGTATTCCTATTAGTATGTCAAAACTATCAAAAAATAACTTTAAAAAAACGCTAAATCTAACACTACTTCATATACTCTCACATGAGGACGATTATGTTGATTTAGAAACAATAATTAGAAAAGTAAAAAAAAGCTAATTTATTTGAATATATATGAAAATTTAGCATTTAAGGATGCTATTGTGTTTGCACTCTCGGTACCTTAAACAATGGAATGTATGAATCTGTGGATCTAGGGGTAATTTTTTTTTTTTGGTGAACCTGGAGCCCATGGATTTATACGGATTTATTTGTAGTTGTAACTCTGTTTGTTTTGTTTGTTTGCGCGTATGTGTCTTTGTTTTTCTTTTTTTGTTTACTACAATATAAAACAAGACTATAGCAAGTTCATTTTTTGTCCTTTATGTTTTGATTTTTATTTGTAATTGTTTTCATTACTGCCTGCCTAGATTAGCTTTAGCTATCCGCAGACAGTAATTATTTTTGTAAAACTTGTTTTTTTGAAAATTAATAAATGTTAATAAAAATGTTAATAGTTAATGTTAATATTATTAAACTAATATTACTACCACTCTCTCTCTCTCTCTCTCTCCATAGTCAAGTTAGGGCACTTTTGTAACAATTCCTCTCCCTTGTTGTTCTTTCCTCTTGTGTGCCCGCACAAACTTCATTCTTTTTGCGCATCTTTGCCTAAATGCTTTTATGGTTACTGCCAAATTTGAGCAGATTACCTATTATACTTAGGGAGCAATCGCGCCGCGAACAGTGATTAGGTTACAAAAATTCCACATGCGTTGCTAAGCTTAAAACTTAAAAAAAATCTCTAGTTTGACGAAACTACGCTTAATACATGTTATTTTGTCTTCTTTGACACATTCCCTTTCTTACCACCACAACCAAATCTCTTGCAATCGACCTGGCAAAATTTTCAAACCAGTATATTATAGGTGTAGTTTGAAATCATGGCGAATTTTGGCTGAAAAAAATTTATGCCCCAAAATGAATTTTCCGCTTTAATAGTTGTCCGAATTGAACGAAACTTCGGCAGTTGAAACATTATGGTATAAGAAAGATCTTATCTAAATTTCAGCTTCTGCGGTTCTTTCGTTCGTTTTTTATTCAAGATTTTTGTAAAATTTCAAAAGTTACAAAAATGCCCTTTTGCTAGAAATCATAATCTTTTTAAAATGTGCTTTATGTGGAATATTGTAGGAGAGTTTTGTGTTTTTCAGGAAGATCCAATGCATACAAGATGTTGTGAAAAATTTATTTTCAATAATTAATATCTTTCTTGAAAAATTCGATCGTTTTATTATAGCGGCTACACCCTCACTCAAGTTGAGTGCTTCCAACAGGTCGCACTCTACGCAAAATTATGAAAATTATTGTACTTCAAGATTCAGGTCCCTTTTAAAGGGTTTAAAAACATTTGTAAAGTGGTATTACAGTAATACGACTTTAAAACTGTTCTTTAAACCGAGTCTTTAAAATGGACCTGAACCTTGAGGTAAAATGATGTACTTGGTATTACCCTAATAGCTAAACTCAGTTTAGATTCCAGATTCTAAATTCCAGATCAAAATTATACTAAATTTTTTTATATGCAGCCAATGATACTTTATTCATCAGCTTTATTCGTAGTGAGCCTGAGGCCTGGCTCACTAGCACAAATTTTGTTATGATCATATCAATCCTATGATTCATTCGATCTTTTTGTCTAAATCAGCGACATTAAGCAAGGTTGTGTTTCTGTATGTAAAACTGCTACAAGGCTGTTGTCCTCCTTCAAGGTCAGTTGTTTTTTCGAACAAATTCTCAATATTGACTGTTTGCTTATGTTGCATTCGAAACAGAAGGTCGTTCAAGTTGTTATTTCATAAAGGACCTTCTGGCAAAAACAGGTTGTTATTTTCCGTTTCAGCGCAAAGATTTACATCAAATGCGTAAATTTGGTTAGCAAATGTGCTATGCGGTTGCCTTGCTTAGTAGCCACGCTATGTTCGTCAGAAAAAACATATTGCGGTTTCTATGTTTTTGAAAATCCAGGTTCATTCTACACAAAAACAGCCTACCTAGCTTAGGTTATTCATTCTACGTTGAGTCTCGAGTTGATGCTTGTAAGAAAGCAAAGGTTTGTTCTACAGTTTTATTCGCATTGTGAAACAAAAGTTTCTATCTTTATTCTACCTGGATCAAAGGTATATCTACTCGTATGATAGTGAAAGTTGGTGCATCTGCAAACCAAAGTAAGTACATAGATAATACGTTGTTTCAGTTGTGATAGTTGCCGATATGTTGATACGTACGTCAGATACGTTATTTCGCTAAATGTTTTACTTACAAAAGGACTAATAATTTGTGCTTTATTTCATGCATGATTAAGAATCTGTCATAATCGGTATATAACCCATTTGTCCAGTGTATGCATGTAATGTACACCCTCGCGCACCAAAACCTGTGCTAAGTGTTTGGAAGCGCTGCTAAAATCAATTTAGTGCTAATATTGCATGCTAATTCTTAGTTTAATACATATTTCTCATTTATGTCAATTATCTAGTATACTCGTATTAATTTCATGTGATAGGTTACTATAGTTTGTCTGCTTATCCTATTTTAGTTCGAACCGACGCAATAGTCTCAATCGATTTATTCGAGGCAAATTATCAAAATTCCTCCATCAAGTTTGCTTTATTTTACAAACTGCATCTACCCCTGTAGATTTATTGGGAACTCGTTGACATTAAATTCTGAAGAGTTTTTAGGATCTTTTCCCGTTAATTAGCCCTGGAAAACGCCTCCCGTTAATTAGCCCTGGAAGGTTACAATTTGTAACTTTTTATAATCAATTTTTTTCAAACAGTTTTATTTTCTTGAAAAAAAACCTGACAGTAATAATTGTAATTTTACAAGTTTAAGGAATTTTATTAAAATGCAAGGAGCCCTTTTCCAAAGGAAATTGAAAATTTGGTTGTGAAAGCACTGCTTAAAACGGATACGATTAATTAAGAGCAATAAACGTTAAATATGGCTTCCAAACAGGGACAACCTCAACAATCGAAGAAACCGTGCAGTTTGGCAAAGGCAAACA